TTATATATATATATATATATAAAGTTTCCTCAGTGTTCTGTCAAACTTCCATATATATTTACATATATATATATATATATATATAATAATTATATATATAATTATATATAATATATATATATATATATATAAAATAATTTAATATAACAATATAATATGGAGTGTGTTTCAAATTACGTTTCCAAAATGTTTCTAGTACGTTTGAATAATGCATAGTCCGCCGTAAGAATAGCCAAATATCTTGTTTCCCACTAACTTGTACGAATTTATTCATGTACACGTGTAATCCTCTCCGCGTCGGCAGAGCGAAAAGCGAGACGGCAAAGTGCGATCGAGTAGAACCTTACCTCGTTGCTTACTCGCTCGCCGTTGTTGCATTCCGTCTCTGCGGTGTCCGAAGGAAGTTTTTCCTTCACCGGGACGGACCTGGACTTCCTCTTGGATTTTCCGTGATGGAGCTTTACCGCCACGGTTTTCACCTCGAAGTTTTCCCGCGGATAGACGCACGCCAGCATCCTCGGAGTGGCATGGACCAGCCAGCAATACCGCACGCCCGACCAGGACTTCGCTTCTACGCGATTTACGTTCACGCAAAAAACCAACCCCTGTTCTCGTTTTATTCGGAAATGTTCTCGTTTATTCCCCCTCGTGCACTCTCACGGACGCGATACGGTAATAATGGGCGGCTTTGAAAAAAAAGGAACAACGTTTGCGTCGCGTTGATAAAATCGCAAGACTGCATACTGGATTTAGTTGGGACGGTATTCCTCAAAAATATTTGCCATGCGATAAAGTTAGAGGCTACAAATCTCTAAGGAATAGGAGGGAGATTCATTTTCGGTTGACAGCGAAATTTTTTTTTTAGCATAAAAATAAATCTCTTCTATTTTTAAATATATTAGAGATGTCATCCTATAAAAAAATATGAAATTTTATCGATAAATTTTTCTCATCGAGAGTCGTTTCGATCAAAGAGTGGTACTCGCATAAAAAAGTTAAAAAAAAAGATTTTGCAATATTCGAGAATACTGTTCTATTCACTATTCGTTATTTCTCGTCGTTTCATTTGCTATTTATTTAATCTCGATAATTTAATCCTATAATTAAAGGTATACTCTAATTAGCGATTGGTGAATGACGCACCGACGATAACGTGATATTTACTCAAAGCAAATGAATATTATCTGCTACCCATGCGTTCGATATAATACCATCAGAATTTATCTTTATGCAATTAATTTATTAATTGGAAAAGGAAAATAATTTTAATGGCGATATTTCATATAATATGTCTTTCTATAAAAACATTCAGATGATATTTCATTTACGTTTCAATTATTTTGATAATGATATATTAGGTATTTTATATCTCTTTTTAAAACTATTGTCAATAAATATTGATACGTTCTGCTAAATTTTAAATCAACGTTCCTTCGTCGATATTACGTAAGTGTTGTCCT